ATGAGGACCAGTCATGAATTCTGATGATGATGAAAGATGTGCTAATATTAGTCGGAAACTGGCAAGTGCCATTACATCGGAGAAGAGCTTTTGTGATGGATTTTCCGCATTTTTGATAAGAGGAGCAAAATTTACGTTCAAGCATCTTGGGAATGTCCTTGGCTATTGCCTTCAAAGTCAATACACCAAAAACAATTTGCTCTAGCAAGTAGATTTGTGGGGCACACCCAAAGCTGACCCTAACAATGACATTCAAGGCCAAGTCAAATCTTCCAAGTAACCATCTTATACTGGAAATGGAAAAGCAGGAAATTTTTCGCCCTAATATGATCTTGATCTCAAGTAACATTCAAACTTGGCGCGACTTTGACTTTGAGTTCAAGGTCACATTCTGACTTGAAATTTTCTGCTTTTCCACTCCCAGTATAAAAATGCGTGGTTGCTTTGAAAACTTTGACTTGACCTTGATGGTCATGATAGAAGTGACCTGTTGGTGATTACCACAAGCTTATCAATTGTGCTGTTGAACAAATGAAAACATATTTTCAAATTACAAATTCTACAAATGAAGCTATGAGAATCATTTTACATAAAAACAAATATGCTACGGTTAAATCTATGTTAGAAGAACTACAGTGGTTGAATGCGAAAAATTTCATATATTGTTTAGTTCTCGTTCTCATACTCATAAATCATTTATTACCGCCATACTTAGAAAATTAAATAGTCATTATCATAGCTACGAAACTAGAGGCAGTATAGATTTTCATATGCAAAATTGTAATAGTACCATAATTAATAAATCTATATTTCAAAAGGGAGTATTTGAATTTAATAAATTGAATAATGATATTAAACAGTGTTCGAATTTAAAAATGTTTAAGGTGAAATAAAAAAATCACTTCATGAATAATCAAAATGCATAGTGATGTAATTTTAATAGACAAGAATGTAAAATTACAGAAAATGGATTAGGAAAAATACATAACCGAATTATTATACAAAATTGACATTGCAACATCAATGCTAAATAAATCTTCAATAAACAAACAAACAAAATCTGACCCTGAAATGGTCTTGAATGCTGAAGGTCGTGACCAAGGTAATTTTCGGATGTAAAATTTGCTCATCTTTCCTATTCCGATGTGAAAAATGGGGGGTTTATTTAAAAATATTCACTTGACCCTTTGATCTTTTGTTTGAAACAACTTTTCTGTGGACTGTGCAGTCTCAGAAATATTTAGATGGGGAGATTAAAATAGGACGCTGCATAGAGAAGATACAGCATTATAGTTTGCTAGATAACAGATAAATCTACTTTTTGATCCTGACAGCATTAAATATTGTATGACAAATAACCCAATAACTATTTATTTACAGTATTAAACTTGAAGTAAATCAAAACCCCAAATAAATCTAAATCAAGGCGATCACGCTTAGAAAACGAATGTTGAAATGAAATTCCATTGAGTCGCTATTTCAAACTTACCTCCCGGGATAAAAGGTATAATCTATCACTGTACCAAATTTCATTCAGATATGCCTAGCCATTTTGGCGTGATTGAGTAACAAGCATGCACTCTTTCTTGTTTATAATATTAGTAGGATGCCTGAACACAGCTGGGAACTTATCACTACAGACGCAGCTAGTAGCTAGGTTTTGAAAATTATATTTTGTTGCAGGTATCAAACTTCTTCCTTGCCGACTGGGCACCGTTGACGGTCCCTGGATCTACGACAACAACTCCCACACGCTGATGCACAAGGTGTACAAAAAGTGCATGGCATTGCACCCTCAGACTTCCCACCTATCACTGATGCCCTGTGATATCAACAACGCATATCAGAACTGGTTGTTCCGCGAAATCAAGCCGAAAGCCTAGGTATTCGTTTTTAGTATGGCCAGGGCCAGTGGCCTCTTTCATTTTCTGCAGGTCAGGGAATCTAATTAGGTTAGAACTTTGCCATGGAATCTGATTGAAGTATTGACATTATATTTTGAGTTCTTTTAAAATGTAACTTTGCAAACGTAAGTGGTGTCTGTCTCACTATAAAATATAGACCTCTTGATTCATTTATAAAATAAAAAATAAATCGTTGCGCACATGTCTATGGTCCAGGGGGAAGTGCGGATGTACACAAAGAGTGAAAATGGCCGAGTTTAGGGGACATAATAAATGTTTGCAAGGTAACACGTTCGAAGCGCGATGGAGTGGCGTAGCATATGATCGCTATTCGAGGTCGGAGTCGGATTCTACAGTACTACAAACATTTCATTTTAGAATATTGTTCAGTGGCAGATTTAAGAAAGAGGGTCCGGTCGGCACTTTATATATAAATCAAGTGATACATTGTTAGGTTCATTTGTTTTATTTGATTCAGTAAAACAATCATGTAACGTTGAATCCTCATCTTGTTTTTGGTTCAGGGAGAGTAATGGTACTTCTCCATGAGACCTTGCTGTCAGTAATGATGATTACACGAGTTAGTAGTGAAAAACTAAATAGTTTATATGTGAGATCCGGTAGCTCTCATTTGAATGGGATTCTCAGCATTTCGGTAAAAAAAATAATATTGTCAACTTTAAAAGCCCAAATTGAAGACACTGAGATTCCTCAAAAATTAATTAGACATGTTGAAGTTGTCTTGACCTTCTGCAAAAAATAGATATTGTTTTGACACCGACCTATATTTGTTGGTTGTTATATGTACAAATAAAAATCTGTATAAAAGTTATTTATGTATATTGTATGGTGGTCGTTGAGAGGATATGCATAATATGCGCATGAGATATTTGCGTATTATAGTTTGACGAAACCATGATTAAGGTATACGCATTCAACTCCAATAATAGCAAGGTTCTGTTCTCGATCAACCAAGTCATAAAACAATGATCCGTATACAATGTGCAATACTTTGGCTTCCAAATTAATAATACATAATTAGATAATTTCAGAAGAATACTAGGATGAATTATAATAATAATAATAATAATCCTTATACCTTGCTTATTTGGTGATGTATTGTTGGTCATACCTCTGGTTTGTATAGTAATGGATACTGAGAAAAGATTAGTCGACACATTCCATATCATTCTATTTATTGAATACGTTTTTGTTATGCGCTATATTTAGGTTAAGTAAAAGCAGAGGTGAAAAACAGAGATTGTAGACAAAATGCTTTTAGTGCGAAATCTATTTTTTATACGTTTTCAACGAATTTCTAACAACTACAAAGTACCAGACACAAAATATATGGAATTTGGCCACCGGTCAATTTGAATAAAAATTCGTACAGTAATAATTCATTTGGTGCTGATCAAATGCTCCAATGGGCGCAAAGCATCTATTGGAGATTCAGGGTGTTAAAGTTTAGCCCCTGTAGGTAAGCCTGCCTGCACTATTTTACGAAAACTAACCGCCCCCTTAGTCGGGTTGGGCTGCTAGTGCGCACACCGAGTCAATTAAACAGTTTGGTCGGTGAAGAGTGCCCAGACCAGCCAACAGTCGGCAGACGCCGACTACCATATTCCGAACGATAATAGTTTGTATCTGAGTATTAAAATAGGACCATATAAAGTCACTAAGTTCCGTTAGTACATTGGAAGCGATTTAGTTTTCGTAAAATAGTGCAGGCAGGCGAACCTACAGGGGCTAAGGCACCAAACTTTAACACCTTATATCTCCAATAAAAAGCATTGGAACTTTTGATTAGCACAACATGAACTGTCACTATATGAATTTTCTGAAAAATTGGCCAGTGGTTAAATTTAATACATTTTGTGCCTGGTGGTGCTGTCTTAATTTATACCTGTTTTTGTTTATAGCCTTGCTTAGAAATTTATTATATACATATCAGTGGCGGTTACTTTAGAGTAATTGAAAAACTAATCTTGCTAATCGAAGTATGGTTCAATAGGTAATGCTGAAAGGTTTTTGCTTTGTTTTATAGGAATTGAAGACACAAGCGGATAAAGGTGTCATGTAACATTTTTTTTAATTGTTTTTTTGCATTAAACTAATCTTAAGAAGTGATTCTTTCATTCTGTGATTACTTTGTTGCAAAAACAAGATCTTAAAAGATCGTATTCTGCTGGTATTCTTATTAAAAATGACTTAGAGAAACGTTGATAGTAGAGACCTACCTTATTGCCCCAACAATATTATGAGCATAATTTCCAGACTCAACGTTTGGACTTCATATGATAAACTAGAAAAAATCTTTAAAACGCAGTATTTTCTGTTTTCTTACATATTTATAAACAATACGTTTGACAGATGGGTCTGACATTGACCTGACCAGTTAGGTGTCGCGCGTGTTGTCAAATCGTATGTTGCTTGCGGTGGCTGGCGACGTCGTTGTGGCGTGTCAATAAGGGAGGACTGTAAAGGATGCTATAAAAGTAGGAGGAACGTTTTCTACGATCTTCCTTTGCATTATCTGGCACTTGATTTTTTGTTAGCCATTAGGTTATGAGTAAACTGATTCAAATTTAGGAAACATATTTATGGTGTATGGTGTTATTTCACATAACGGCTGAAAAATGCTTGTATATATCTTCCTGAGAATTATACTCTATTACAATATCCTTATGTCCTATGTACTTATAGTTTTCATGACTACAGTGTGGCTTTTCGAGGGCCTATTATGAATGAAATATTAAAGAAAATGTGCAAAATATAGAAGAAAAATGTAGCAGGGTATTCGAAATCAATCATAAAATTTCGTTTGTAGGTTCTCTTTCTATTTAGATTTTGTAATTGTAAATTACAGTTGTTTCCATATTTTTATATAATAACCTACCACTATTTATTAAAAATAAATATAGGAAGTTTTCATATTTGCTTTGTATTATTATTCTAACAGACACAGAAGCTTTTCACAAACCTTAATAATGTAACACTATCTTGTAACTGGAACTGTGAATACCAGCGAGACATCCTCTTACATCGACCAATAGATTTGACATGTGTCTAGAAACATCGACGCTTATGGAGTCAGAGTTACGCGGCTGAGCGTGGGCGATTGTGGCCTCATTGATAGCTTATTTTCACTTGCGTACGAGGCGCTCGCCTCGTGACTCGCGACCCTCGCGTCCGTAGCTGTTTTTTGATCTCGAGTCAAAGGACCTGGCGACAAACGCAAGCGTGGTGTTTTGCCGCGCGTATTGTTTGCTTTCAAACTGCTTAAATGGATTGGTCGCAAGAAGAAACGTTTCGGTTTCTAGAATTATTTCAAAAGGAACCGATAATTTGAGATCGCAAACATAAATTCCACTAAAATAACCAAAAAGCAAACGATGCATGGACGAAATTATCTCAAGACATGTGTAGAACTCCAACCGAATTAAAAAATAAGAAAAATTCTCGTATGGCAACGTTTCGCCAGAATCTTTGGCTCAGAAAACAATCTAATTTCATCCGGCGCCGGAGAAGATGATATTTACAAGCCAGTGCGGGTGTATTACGATGTTATGTAAGCATTTTTAGTATTTTTTGTTTACTTTTCTTTTATTCAAATTAATTGCGTAATAGTAGATGCTCAGTATGCAAAGACTTGTTGCCGCTAAAACTTCGGAGTCCTCCTTTGTTGCTAGCTCAAAGACAACTGAACTCACCATGAGAGTGTAAACAGGAAGCTCATTTACCTTCGATCACGCGAGGTGCGGACCGTGACACGGGGCGAGGTACGAAGCGAGCGTGTAAACCACATATGAGGAGCTTCGGTAGACATCGGGAGCGTTCGAAACGTATCGATAGCCATCTCGACACCTTTGACAGCGAATGTTCTGAAGTTTGTTGAATTCAAAATAAGTACTCGTATACAGGAGCTTCCACCAGGGGACCATTTAATGGACAGCGTCCGATGTACAAGCTATAGTACAGTCGACATGGTTATAAATTTGTCATAAATTAGACTAAGCAGTCAAAAAGTGCGTTTTCGTTACAGTAATATAGTATTTCTACAGTAATTAATATAGTGCAAATAATAGAAAAAACATGAATCTTGTTAGTTGAAATATTGAGAACTCGGAGACAGCTGTATCACTAGCTCTAAAAAGTATTGATTTTCAGTCGTATGTAATTATAATATACAGGGTGTACCTTAATGATATGCGAATATTTAAGGGTGTGAATCTACATGAAAAATTAATGTTAGTTTGCTTTATAAACTATGGTCCAAAAATGTTTCCTTACAAAAACTCGGGGTGTTGAAGTTTTAGGAAAAAAATGGAAATTAATATTTTCAGAACCGCTTCAGATATTTCACTGATATATTTAGTACGTAGCTGAAGTTAATAAAGTAGCATATTTTTAAAATATTTTATTTTATTTAAATAAAAAATAATTTTTAGCTTTAACAGTGGCGTGCGTACGGGTATTGACTTCGATATTTTTTAATTCCCCGTTCAATTTAAAACAAATGATCTCTCTTGAATTGTTTTCTTTCGATGCGCCATTTTTGAGGAAAAAATAAAAACCGTTCAATTGTCTAACTTGCAAAATTATTATTAATGTAATTGGAGAAATTAAATACATTAGGGGTAATAAAGAACAACAACTGACAACATAAACATAACATTAAAACCAACGAAATGATTACAAAAATTGTTGGAAATGGCCCCCTTCACTTAATATGCATGCTCCTTTTCATGGAATTGCGCACTCGTTGAAATATATCCCCGGAGTGTTTTTTATTCTATTACAAGCTGTAACTATTCTTTCTCTTAATTCCTCTACAGTGTTAATGGGACTTGTGTACACTAGTATCTTACGATAGCCCCACAAAAAGAAATCTAAACTGTTGAGGTCTGGGGACCTTGGTGGCGATTCTTGGGGCCCACCGCGGCCAATTCCACGATTTGGATAAACAGTTTGTAAATAATTACGAACCGCTACACTGAAATGCTCTGGTGCACCATCATGCATGTTACCACATATTGTTTCGTATTACTAACGGAACATCATCAAGCAGAAAAAGCAACTGTTGTTGAAGAAAATTGAGGCTAATAAAGTGGTTGTCAATAATTTCGCCCCATACGTTAATCGAAAATTGGTGTTGGAAATGGATTTCGGTTACGGCGTAGGGATTTTCTTCTGTCCACAAATGATTATTGTGGAAATTCTGAATGGCATTTCGAAAAAAATTAGCTTCGTCCGTGAACAGAATCATTGATTCAAATTCCGGATTTTGTGTAACAAGACGACGATGAATATTAGAAAAGGTTCTACTATCTGGCAAAGCACGATCGAGATATCTCTGGTGATAAATCCATCTGGCTTGCTCACCATTACCGTCGGCAAGGTTATATACGTAATGCATTTCCGCCATTTTTGCATTTGAATAATTCACCATTATTAACAAGATTGTAAAAACTGAATAATGAACAAGATGTCACAGCGAACAGATTTGAATAAGAGAGACTTGTCAGATGTCAAAAGCCAGTGACATATTCCAGAGCAACTAGACATTTATTGCAAAATTGCATTCTTTAATTATTACACGAATTTTCTCGGACAATAGAACGGTTTTTATTTTGTCACTCAAAAATGGCGCATCGAAGGCAAACAATTCAAGAGAGATCATTTGTTTTAAATTGAACGGGGAAGTCAAAAATAATTTTTATGTGGCAAAAAACCATTGGCGTACCATTTTTTTCTTAAAAAATATAGAAGTCAATACTTGTACGCACGCCACTGTTAAAGCTAAAAATCATTTTTGTATTGAAAAATATGCAACTTTATCAACTTCCACTAAGTACTAAATATCAGTGAAATATCTGAAGCGGTTCGGAAAATATTAATTAATTTCCATTTTTTTTCCTAAAACTTCAACACCCCGAGTTTTTGTAAGGAAACATTTCTGGACCATAGTTTATAAAGCAAACTAACATTAATTTTTCATGTAGATTCACACCCTTAAATATTCGCATATCATTAAGGAGCACCCTGTATAATATAAATGTATGTTTTTGAGTATGGTATTTGGGTCACTCTTATTTCCAGCGACAAGAAAAAGAATCTTATTAGCTTCACCGACTTAAAACTGCGATAATTTGTCATTACCACGAATAAAGTTCACGACTGCGGCAGCATTAATTCTATGGCTGTGAGTATAATGAACCGTGGCTCGCCTAGCTTCAAATCTGTTTTGTTTATATTGTTAGTTTACATGTTTTATCACAAATCTTGCCCAACTAATACTTGCTGCAAGAAAAAGTAATATAATTTTTTTTTATACTCCAACTACCACGAAGGCCTAAGGCCTAAGCACCCATTGGGTACCGTGTGGTATAGGGGGATACATGGGAAAGGGGGGGACGCCACACGGACTCTGGCGAGGGAACACGTGTGCATGCAACATGCACATATTCTGGCTCCGCCTACGAGAACCGCCGGGTACCTCCACGTTCGACAGTCATAGACCATCTACCACCTACGGACAATCGCAACATCCATAGCCAAGAGAAAAATGTCTCCTGGGACGGGACTCGAACCCGCACAGCGCACGGCGACTGATCAGGAGATCGAAGAGTACTACTGTGGTCACCGCTGCTGCCTGAACAGGCATAATTTTGCAAAATTGCCTCAAATGTTGTAACCACGGTTTTGACGTGGTATACCCCCACCATCTAGGTAAATTGTTTGCTAGTGTTGCAAAAGTTAGATAATAAAATCTACTGATTTTCTATCACAAATCTCACAGACCACGGCGCTTTCAATTATCCTGGATCTAATTTATATTTTAACACAGTTATATGTTGTATTTATACTTTATAAAATAGAGTGATATGTTTACATTACGTAATTACTTTTAAAAGTAAGTTACATATTAGGATTTTACCTGCATGAAGCATTATTTGTTTCGTTGAAAATAAGAATCACCCAGTGGCTAATATATCCCTGATTCATAGCATAACCCAATTTAAGGAGAAGATCCAATTCACAGATCATCCAAGGAACGAAATACTGTTGGTTCTCACGTTTGTGCTGGTCTGTGTTTTTACCACAATTCACTATTGTGAAGGCGAGCCCCACAACGCTTGTTGTGATTGTGTACAAGTTTACTAAGTGACATATAAATCCGAACACCCGGTTTAAATGGTTTTATTTTAATAAAAGTTGGTGAATGTATTTATCTTACTGTAAATAACAAGTGAAAAAATTTTCAGCCTTATCAGTTGGACATTCCGGTTTTTATACTGCTTTTTCTTAATTCACTAACGCTCTAAAAATGAATATTTCAGCCGCAGTAAAGAATCAACGTTGGCGGATTTTGGTTCTTGACATCCTTTACGATCGGTTACGATGCCTAGAGTACGGAGACCTGTACGATTTCGTCAACTTAGTGAGTTTGATAGGGGCCGTATAGTGGGACTTCGGGAAGCTGGACTTTCTTTTCGGGCAATTGCAGTTAGAGTGCAAAGAAGTGTAGACACTGTGGTTAGGTGTTGTCAGGCATGGCTTCGAGAAGGCCGTACGCAAAGAGCAAGGGCCACTGGACGCCGCCGTAGAACAACAGACCGTGAAGATCGCCGCCTAAGATTATTGGCCTTAAGGGACCGTTTCTCCACTACCAGGTCCATTGCAAATGAATGGTTTGCAGAACACGGAAGATCTAGTGGCATGCGAAGTGTTTACCGACGAATAAGAAGTTTTGGCTTGTTTTCATACCGGCCACACTGGGTCCTCCCTTTAACTCGAGAACACCGACGTAATCGCCTTGAGTGGTGCAGACAACGGTCACTCTGGGATCAGGAATGGAACAGTATTGTCTTTAGTGACGAGTCACGATTTTGTTTAGGCATGCACGATGGTCGTGCCTGGGTTAG